ATATATATATATATATATATATATATATAGGGGGAGTTATTAATCACAAAAAGATTGTTGGAGGTTCTAACTAATCCCACAAAAAAAAACATAAGAACAAGACTTAAAGATCTTCCACCGAGAGATACAACACACCCAAAAAAGTTCAAATTACATTTATGAAATTACATGTAATCAATTCTAATGTATGGCATATTAAAATTGACTCTATGTACAAGTAAACTAAATTAAGCATTAAATTGAAAATCCACTTTAATGTTGTTAAGTGAAGCACCAATTCAAGTAAGAAAATCTGTTGGTTTATTAGTTTTCATGCAAAATATGATTTCGTGTAATAGTAAAATAGTGTAAAACCATCTAAATCTTAGCCCAATTGATAGAGTGCTGCCAACTGCACATATGACTCCCAATGCGGCAACGAAATACGGAAAGGGAATCTGTTTACACGATCAAATTCCAAAATTAATTTCTTTCGCAATAAGTAAACAATATGGGGCCGGCAGTAGAATTTTTAGAGTAAGATGCGTTAACACAATCACGGGGAACATAAAAGGTACATAAAACCTTTCACAAAATAGTTACGAAAACCCCACCAACACTTTCATTGAAAGAGTTAAAGCTACTATTAATATTAACTTTAATAGCACCAAGTGGGGACTGTCCAACCAAACGAAAAACCCATAAAGCAGCACCCACCACCTACTGAACACCGTAAATACCGACCACATTTTTTTGATAGGTAGTGTATTCAGCAATTTTAGAAATAAGTTATTTAACATTGGAATAAATGGAAATAGCATTGCTTAGAAGCTCATAGTATTTCCTTTGTTTGCTTTCCATCTATAGAAACTAACAAATAATATAAGGGATTATAGTTTGCAAATGAAGATAAAAGTTACCGCACCTCCAATGCAACAAGCAGTGATCCAAATATTGATATTCACAAGTAGGCAAAAAAGTTTTATAAGTGACAGCAGCACACATCACCTGATGAACACCATCAAGATAAGCCACATTTTCTTGAGAGTTAGTACATGCAACAACTTTAGAACTAAACAATTTAACATTGAAAAGAATGGCTTTAGCATTGCTTATAAACTCATAGTGTTTCCTTTGATTTTTTTTTTTCCATCTATAGAAACCAACAAACAATATAAGGGATTATAGTTTGCAAATGAAGTTTAAGGTTACAGCGCCTCCAATGCAACAAGCAGTGATCCAAATCTCGGTACCCGCAAGTAGACAAAAAAAAATTTAGGTGAGTGATAGTGGCCCCAAAATTTCCAAAGAAAAAAACACAATTGAAAAAAAAATATGATGTAGAGATTCCTCCTCATTCCAGCAAAATAAGCAAATAGAAACATTATGTAGCCCTTTCAGCTCAAGAATAACATCCAAATGAAGTAACATATTGTGTAGCCACCAAGCAAAAAAGAATTGAGATGGTTTTAACATAGATTTCCATATGTTGGTACCACATTCAATAAAAAGAAAATTATGTAACTTAGCAGCAATAGAAGCAGAAATATAGTGATGAGCTTTATGTTTAAACTTAAGAACTTTCATTTGGTTTTATAAAAAGCTATAGCAGTAATGTAAGCAACCAGATCTCCACTAAGGAACTTAGAAAGTTCTCGAGCATTCCACTCATCCTCATACCAAAAGTTCTTCACGCAAATATCAATGGAATGAACTGCATCAGAGAAATGAGATAGAGGACACCTAACAAAATCCAATTTTCAAACCAAAAACAGATTTTACCTTCACCAATATCCCACGATCTGAAATCTTCAGTTTCATTCCACGTATTCAAAATTTCTTACCAAATTAAGAAATCTCCTAATTTAGGCATACTTGCAAGAGGGTGAGGAAATTCTAAATATTCGGGATGAATGAAATTAGCCCATAACCCCAAATTAGATCTAAGTTTGATCCAAAAGCTTGCAAATACTTAAATCCATGAAATATTCCAAGGACCTGAACCCCATCCCCCCGTAATTATCAGGCTTACAAAAAAACTTCAAAGAAGACAAAGTTGAGATGTATAATATATTATTAATTTTTCTAAGTAGACAACTGATATAGAAGTTTCTTTTTAATTAATATTAAATTCATTGTACTCATATATTTGTATTAAAACAAATTATAATTTTTTATTGGTTTCCAACTAAATATCAAATTTTGAGTCAAAAATATTCAGTTAATCAATAATAATAAAAAATATATATATTCTAGTTTGAATTATGTGTTATTTTTATTAATTAATTAACTTTTATTGTAAATTTATCCCCTCTAAAAAATGAGATGGTTCCGCCCCTATCTACTTATCAAGAGCCATCTAAATCCTCCACATATCTTTCTCAACATATAAACCACTCTCAATAACGAGTTTATTTTATTTATAAAATAATTGCTAGAGTTTCAAACTAAAATAATTCTATTGCATTTGATGTTTAAACAATGTTGAATAATTTTCAACCAATTTCAATTCAAATAAATCTTATGGACCGTCATCCATCACAAATTCAAAAATTCCCTTCAATAATTTGACATTTGAGGGTATTGTATCCAACTTTGAGATCGCGAGTTAGATTTATGCATATTGCCTTTTGGCATCACATTTCTTGAAACTTCTTTTATGTGTACTTTTTCTATTATTTTATTGGTTTTCCTTTCATACAACTTTATATGTACATTTGTGTTTTTAATCACATTATTCTATGAACCTCAAATGTTTAAAACTCTTTCATCATAGAGCGAGAATGAATTACCTCATTCACGTCTTTTACATTTTACATAAGCAGGATATTAGATAAAACGAGCAATGGTTGATAACAACCGTGTTAATAATGGTGTTCAATTAGAGTCTTGCATTGGGATAATTGTGCCTATTTTGAGCATAATATGCTCAAGCTTTTAAACTTAAAATGAAAAAATGGCATGTTAAATTATAAGAGAAAGTATGAAAAAGCTATTAATGTAGAAAATATGAGCTAAAAAAAGTATGTAAAGACTTATAATCTTAAAGACCATTTCGATATATTAAAGAATGCAATTTCTATGTATAATATGTCCAATTATATATACATAATTTATAAAGAGATTGGAGATTTAGCTGATCTTATTAATGTTTTTTTTTTATTTATAGTATGAAATTTTCACAAATATTGAGGTTATTAAAATTGCTATAATTAAAATTTTCTAAAATAGAATTCTTTATAATATTATATTATATTAAGAGATTCTAGAAATAAACAATGTATACAAATTGTTTGTTGTTGCTCCATTGACAATTGGATGATACTCATGTTTCACAAACTCATTGATAAGATGCAATACATATATCTATGTTTACTATTTAGCTCTTAAGGGTTCTTATTCTACTATTAATCTCGCAATTCATTTAGATACATTTAATAAGACTTTGTTCTCTATGTAAAATCTCGTATTATATATATATACTATTGATGATCTTGTCGGCCACAAAATATATATATATATATATGTAGCATGAAACTATCAACAATATTAAACTAATCAAATATGAGCATGAAACTATCAATGACGTTAAGCTAATCAAATATTGTTAAACTTCTTTGTAATGTGTATCCCAATCAACAAATATATATTGACATGAGTTTATATTATAGTGAAAAAAAAACATGAACATTATTTTATCACAACATAACGCTTAAAGTATTGTCTTTGAAGCAAAAATTTTACTTATATCGACAAAGACGAATACGATACTTCACAAGAAAATTTACACAAAGACTTGTTTGTCTGATGTTATCACTTAACTATGTAGACAAGAAATCACCTCAAATAAAAAATGCACGATGCTCGCTCTAGCTTGATTTGGACGCCTAATAAATTAATCATGAATATTTTTCTTTTTCTCAATAGATGGTTTCGAGGCGTGTAATAGAAGTCCTTAATCATAGATGTATGCCCATAATAACTTACATTGGTTGATTAAGTCATGAAGTAGGCTTAGCTAGGTCAAATATACTGTTAACTGCTAACCAAGCTTAAATCAACCATTTCCCAAGATCATTGTTATAGGGAGAATTCACCTATGTACTTTCGCGCATTACAAATTAATGCCTTCACTTGTTGGCAATAGATAATAAGATCCATCAAGTAATAAATTACATTTTTGATGCTCATGAATTGTGTGTTTAAAATTGAAAATGAAAAATAATCAGGACCTATTAGTATGAATGTATTGTGAAAAAATACATTAAAATTATAGCCATGTGCCCCTCATGACTCTCAAATCCAATCTTCATTTGCATTTATAAAATGAGGTTAGTGTGTCTGCAATTTGGGCTGTAAACGAGCCGAGCTTGAGCGAGCTCAGACTTGACTCGTGTTCGGCTCGTTCGAAATTGTTCGTGTTCGAAATCCGCTCGTGTTCGAAACCAGCTCGTGAATAATGTGTTTATGTTCGGATTGATTTAAATATTCGTGTTCGAGTTCGGCTCGAAATTGACTCGTTAAAATTAAACTGAAAAAAAAATGAAAAGTGTATTTGAACTTGAATCAAATGAATGCAAATGAAAGTGCATAACCACATTACCAAACAAACAATTGTGATTTAAATCGAGATATGAATATATATAATATGTTATTATATAAATAAATGTATGTAACATATTATTATTATTATTATTTTATTTCAAGCTAAATACGAGCTAAACATGAGCGAACAAAGAGCTGTTCTTGTTCAGCTCGTTCATAATCCGAGCTTTAAAAATTTATTCATGTTCGACTCGTTTACTTTACTAAAGAGCCGAACACGAGCTACTTAACAAGCCCAACACTAGCTGTTCGAGAACAACGAGCTTATTTGA